TAAAAACTAGCTCCTCAACCCTATCCCACTCCATCTTCTCATTCCAATGTGGGTTTCCTGCCTTCCCTAAATGATCCTATAGTCTCTTTTGTTAATCTCCATCACAATACATTATGTGATAAAATATGTGTTAATAAAACACAATAATCATTCCTTTCATTTTCCCCACTAAGTGACCTCCTTTTGGGAAGTGCTAGTATAGTGTCTGGTACTTAGCAGTCACTCAAAACATGATAATTGAATGAACAAGTGAATGAATGAAAGAATGAATGAATGAATATGAAACTATTTCAAAGCCTTTCCGTTACTTCTGTAGATCATGGGCAACCTGTGGAAAGGGCACAGTAGATGGTAGCAAATGTAAAGGATAAGAGAAAACAAGGGAACAAATGTTTAGTGCACTTAAAGCTCTGCTGCATGAACCCAAGAAACTCTAACATCTGTAATTCCATTGCATATCTTGTCCACACGTCCTAAGTTTGAATCTATATTATACTTTTTGAAGTCAGAAATCCTTTTAATTTAGCTCAGAAAAACTTTTGGGAACCTTTGAAGGAACATTTCTATAATACTTTTCTATTTATTACATTTCTGGTTAACAAGGTTTCTGAGAAACTTGGCTCTTTCAGTTAAAATGTCAAAACAAACAAAAGTGTTCTGTCAGGGCCGGCCCCGTGGCTTGGCGGTTAAGTGCGCGTGCTCTGCTGCTGGCGGCCCGGGTTCGGATCTGGGCGCGCACCGACGCGCCGCTTCTCTGGCCATGCTGAGGCCGCGTCCCACATGCAGCAACTAGAAGGACGTGCAACTATGACATACAACTATCTGCTGGGGCTTTGGGGGAAAAAAAAAGGAGGAAGATAGGCAATAGATGTTAGCTCAGAGCCGGTCTTCCTCAGCAAAAAGAGGAGGATTAGCATGGATGTTAGCTCAGGGCTGATCTTCCTCAAAAAAAAAAAATAATAAAATAAAAAAAATAAAAGTGTTCTGTCAAATCTTTTTCCCCCTTTCCTTTTATTATTTTTGTGATTTTTTTCCTGTCCCATTACTTTGCTTTCTCTGAGCCATTTTTATAATGTTTCGTTATAGTGTTAAACTAAAATGTAACACTTTCTTTTTCAGTTTCATCATGTCCTTTTTATGCACTGTGTTCTGGGGCTGGTTAAAGTTGTTAAGAAATGGGTAAAATGCTTATTAGTTAAGTGAGCACAGGACAGATTGGTTGGCAGAATCTCACAGGCCGGGCAGGTGGGGGATGTTGTGTGGGGTAAGGAGGACGAGGCATAGCTGGAAAGAAGAAAAAGTGGCAAGGCTGTAGAATAATCAGGAATTGAGCAAATAAAAATGGGGCAACTTAGACTTTGGCTCAAGCCCTCAAAATCAAAGGCCAAAAATGAAGAATCTTTGCTAACTTGTGCTTCAACTTATCTTTGGGAACTTACCCCTAGCTAAGAATAATTTTAGGAATACTTAAATAATTCCATTCTAGTTTAACATTATATGCAGGCAAAAGAGTAGCATACACATTCCCGGGCTATGCCTGCACTTAGAATAAGCAAGGCTGGCTGTGGCACACCTCTCCCTCCCTTAACATTCCTACGCGCATTTTCTCTACCCCTTCCCACGGCGCTTGCCGCAGCATTTCATCTGTCAGATCTAACCTACCTGGGAATAATTCCTCACCCAGAATTGCTGGGTCCTGTTCTTACCCTCCTCATCATCCAATTCTACCTTTCCCCACCAAAATTGTTGCAGAAAGGTGAGCAACTTACAACAATTCACAGTAAATTGTGGTGAATCATACTAAATTTAACTATCCCAAAGTATTTATTCAGAGTATTTTTCATTCCACATAAACTTTGGATTGGTTGAACTTAAGGTAATATCAATGTGTAGGACGTGTTAGAAGGAGAGAAGATATTGAAAACCATTGGGCCATTGCACAATTTTAATTAAACCTTATAGGTAAATACCCACACTAATATCTCTGAAAATGTGGGGTTTTGAGGGGGGAGGGGGGATTCTTATTTATCATACTGGAATTGAAACATAGAATTTAGGATTATAAACCACTATCACAAGTTTTATGGATTATAGCTATACATAATATTCACATATATCCTTATAAAAGAGTAATTTTTATTAATTTATAATTAATTCTTATGATATCCATAATATCAATTCTTTTTTTCCATATTAGGATTAATTTAAATTTGAAGCCATCTTGTACTTGAAACAATATAATATATAAAAAAAATAAGTTCTCCTCTTCTGATGGAATAGAATCTCTCTCTCTTTGATCTGTAATGTATTTCATGTCCTGAAAGAACTTTTTTTCCCTTTAAACCTCCAGAATTAAAAAACATCTCTCTCCAAACACCACAGCCAGTGTGTACTTGGACATGTTTCATTAGAGTTTTAATTTACTCACTTGAATCAGCCCAGTATTTCTGGGCTATGGCTAATTGCAAAGAGTATACACTTTTTAGACGCTAAATCTAAAAGGTCTACTTGAAAAGTTTGGTTGTCATATATTCCAGAAAGCAGAAACTATGTGGTATGATTGAGGAACTGTTTTCTAAACTTTGTCCTGTGAACCTGACCAGATTCTTAGTAGTCTGTGGCGACTCCCCCAGCCATGATTTTTTACCACAAGAAAGCAACTAATGTTCCTGTACCACTAGGAACGTGAGTGCAGACAACCTATTGCATGAAAAAGGTAGTACTTGGTCTTCAATATATAAAAAAAGGAAAAAAAAAAATAGAAAGTTGGGTTTTCAAATTCTTCCCGTTGGCTATTATTCCTCTTTAGCAGTGAATAATATTTTTGGTGGGATGTTCGCTCTTAACAGGGCAGAGGCTATTTACGAAAATGCTAAAATGTTTTGTCTAGTTGAAGAAGGCAGATTGTGATAGTGTTCAAAACTGTCTTTTCTCAATTTCTCCATTTAGCATTCAGTATTCAGTTTGGTATCTCTCAATATCTCAATTTAGTATTCCATATTTATTTCTACATATGAAATAAAAACAGAGGCAAATGTTGAAGTATATGTGGATATTTTTAACGATCAAGGCTGCTCTGTTGAGTAAAATATCCGTTAGGTATGGTAACTGATGCAGTTGATTGACATTTCGAACTAATTTAGTTTCAGAACTATTTGGCAAACAAGGAATAAAATAGCAGTTCTATATCCACTGAAAATTCATGTAATTTTTCTCGACTAGCTTGTGAATTAGATGTGTTTTTGTGAAAATCATGAGGCTAACCTAAGTGTTGCTTTAAATACTAAAGTTGTACTTTATCTGTTAGGAAACATCCAGATTTATAGTCATTTTCACTATAATATGTACAGTGCTAATGCTCAGCTCACTAATAGAAACTGATATCTCATTTAAACATACATTGTTGAAATATAAAATACAAGTGAAATAAGTCAGCAGGAATCAATTACATAAGCGAGGGGTTTAAATCACTATTGTTTAATTTTTATCATTTATACTTTGTAGCACCCGATTTTAATAATGTTTCAAATTACACTTTTTAATCACTTCAACAGTTTAATTAAACTTGGCATCAATACTTAAGTTTTAAACATGAGCTAGAAATAAAACAAATCTTCCTTGCATGACAAATGCCTACATAAAACCTCAGCAAACAATATGTAAACAGTGAAATGCTAGAAGTATTCCTACTAAAAGAAAAGACAGAAATACTTATGTAAAGAAAAATATGTTTGCTAAGATTGGTAACATTAACATTGTTCCAGAAGTCTTTGCCAATACAACAATATTTTACTTTTAAATACTAATTGTAATATTTAAATGTACAGGGAAATGATTGTATACCTAGTTTTAAAAAGTGGTTGGATATAAAGCTTACAAGCTAAAAATCAAGCAATAGCATATTAGAATGTATAATTGCAAAAAGACTCTATCTTTCCAAAAATATTAAACACATTTGAATAAACTTAAAAAAATTACTAAAGGGTATAACTAAAAAAAGATATCTGCCTTTATTTTCTAGGTTGAAACACCCTCAAGCACAGAGGTTTTGTGTTATTTGGAATATTTCTCAATGCTTAGAAGCTGACATGATGTAAGTGTTCAATCAAAAGTTGTTGACTTAGTGAAAAGTTCTGGGAATTTATGAATGATATCTAATTCACTTGGTTTGAAAATATCAATCAAATATCTATCACATAGTTAGTTACCCATCATGAACTAGGAAAGAAAATTTCCTCCAAGAAGAAACTTTTTAATAAATGGAGAAACAGTGCTAGAATTAAATTTAATTATGAATTCAGAAATTTTCTTACTGATAGCAGAAGAAAACTCCTACACTCATATTAACTACTCCTAAAGGCTAGTCTTCTAGAATATATCTTATATACAACTGCAGGAAAAAACCCTACTGAACAACTTAGATGTGACAAAGATTGCATATTTAATTTTTTTCAAATTTATATAATATCATCATTCGAACGATACAAGTAATGCTTATCTACCAGACTTTTAAGGCCATGGCAATATCAGTCATAGACGATAAATAAAATTTAGAAAGAGTTAATAGCTATATCTGAAATAAATCCAATCATATGATTTAAAGGCTTTTAATGTCTAATTTATGTTCTGGTTCTATGTATGTTCACATACTTCTTAATACTTTCACATAAAGCATTTTGGTGAAAATTCTAAGCAAAAAATATTATATTTTATGAAAATTACAAAGGAAATGATTATGACATTATAGTTTTCAAAAATATTTATTCAAACATTTTCTAAAAATTTTCACTAAATAAAATTATGATGAATAATCAGATATGTCATCCAAGTAAGCTATTTATATTTTTTAAACTTAACACAGTCAAAAGCCACGCATAGACTAAACTACAGAACAGTAATTCACATTTTCTAGATCAAATTTTTATTACCACTGTAAAAAGCATATTAGCAAATGTTTGATAATATAGCTATAGGACAAAGTCTTCCCCTTTTACTCTTACCTTGTGCTACACAAATAGTCCATAACATAAGCCACACAATGTTTGCCGGAAATCTCATTTTTGGGGTCTTTTAGGGGTACATTTAACAGCTGACACTGCTCACACTAGGTCAGGTTCTCCTCTGCTAAGAACTGCGATTAGGGCAGGAAATTACTTGCTCCAAAAGGAAGTTGAAATGCAGCTTGAGAATTAAAAGGATTACTAGATGCTCCGCCCATCAGAAACTTTTCAAAGTAAAAGAAAAAAATCAACCGCAAGCCCCAGCAGTGTCAGAGTTTGAACCGGATTCTCACTGCATTCCTACGGAATGTTAATGCTGGACCCACTCTGGATTTGTTTTTATAAACCCAAGCATGTTCTCCGTTGGGACATGTTCAGATTCTTGGAATGTGCGAAGCAGTAGCTGGTGATATCCTCTGGATTTCATAAATCCTCCAGTTCTTGAAACTCCTTTCAGGTCTTGTGTGTCAACCTCAGAAGAAAAGTAATAGGACTCTTTTAAAAATCATTTACAGAACTCGAGCTTAGGCAATGCTTTCACAATCATGACCCAGACAACGTGAGTAAACTTTGCCAAGAACGCAGTACTGGCTGATATTGGGGGCCTGCTTTTCCCACAATTCATGAAATTCATCTTCTAAGGACTTGTTAGATATGTCTGTAAAGCAACAGGTTCACTCTCATTAGACATAAGAGTTTAATAATTCAAAAATCAAGAAATTAAAATGCTAACTGTTTTAAAACTTTGTATTGAAATATAATATGCATAAAGAGAATATAAGCAAGTAGTTTGCTGAATATCAAGAAGGTAAAGACTACCATGCAACCAGCACCAAGGTCACGAACTGAACAGCACTATTTCTCTGGAAACCCCTAGTATTCCCTTTCTGTCAACCTCCCTCACCCGCTCCCCCACCACACACAGCGTAACCACTACCCTGATCTCTAACGTATGGAATAGATTTGCCTGTTTTTGTACTTTATATAAATCAAATAATAAGATACTTACTCTTATGTGTTGTGGACATTAATAAAAGAAACCTTAACTAAATTGGAGTTGGGAAGGCCCATAGAGGGAGTTCTCACGCCCCATCACACATCCTCAATTACTCCGAACAGGCAGAGACAGACCCTTGCATCTTGGGCAGGAAGTAAAACCACTTTACTACTGAAGGAAGATTTTTCTCACCACCCAGCAACAGCTCAACCAATAAGAAGGCATTGCTGCCCTGAGCTGTTACTTTCCCCCAGTGGATTTTCATTTAGGACCGCCCCTTCCTACTCCCTTTTTTCTCTGTAAAAGCAGTGCTCCTTCTTTGTTGGATTTGCCCATGGTTTGCCATAGCATGAACATCTCGAATTGCAATTCTTTTGGCTGCTCTGAATAAACTCATTTTGAGATAAAATAACAGGCAAATTTTGCTTTCTACGTTTACAGTGCTTAGAGCTTTTCACTAAAAATGATGTTTAGGTCCTTCAACCACACTATTGGGTGTAGTTGCATCTCATTGATGTCTTGTAAGAATGAAAGTTTGCTCCTGTCATGTGTGATCTATTGACATGAATGAAGATGCCATAACACTTATGTCTCTACAATGAGGACATTGAGAACAAACTAGTTACAATATCTCAGTTCAAATAGTATTTGATATTACTCACAACACAAGAACTCTTTTAATGCCCTGAATTCTTGTAGTTCATTATATCAAGAAAACTTGAGTTTTTCCAAAATTTGACAACAATCCTAAAAATTTATAGGCCATTATAAATCATGAGTTGTGAACCTGAAGGGACTTTTCTAATATTTCAATAACAAGTAACAAATTTAAATCAAATATGCTAAAAACTGAATTATTTTTCTACTTTCTCTATATTGAAAATATTAGAAAATTACACCATGTGAAGAGAAGCTCAAGAGAGTATTTAGCCAAAAATGTAAAAATTAAAGGTATCATAGAGTTGTATAAGACAATATACATATTATGTTCTTTCTGGTTTTTATGATGTCTTTGGAATTTTTTTAACTTTATAATTTATAATGATTTATTTCTAATTTTAACTTATTTTTTATTTATAATTTCAAATAAATATTTACTTTCAAATCTAATTTCTGTTCTCAGTTTGTGGTCTTTTCCTTAGAGAGTTCTGTCCAAATTGCATGCCACATCCAAAAAACCTGGATCTTTCCTGATTAACGTGTAGTATTAAAAGTGACAGGTAACAACATAGGTCAGTCTATACTATGAAATCTATAACACCTTAAGGCGTCTTATGTAGTCCTAAAGAAATATTTTAAAGGAACGATGCTTTGTATCTTTGATGTCACATGCAACTAATCACTGCATAACAATTTTTCTTATTGGTTTGGAATGGGCAGTTAGTAGCTATGGCTTCTGAACCATTGTCCACAAATAACTTATTACATTGAAATTTAAATTTAAGTTAACTAAATTAACTTAAATTAATTTAGTTCTTGACTTCCACTTCTGATCAATGTAGAACAGAGGGCCTGGATTTATCCTTCCACCTGAACAACTAAAAAGAATCAATAAACTGACAAAATGGATGAAAAAGAGTTTTCAAGATAAGGGACATCAGGCCATATAAAACAGGTATCTCTGAGGGATGGGAACTGAAAGACTTGGGCCCCATGATTGCTCCAGTTTATTTCCTTGAGAAAGTTTCTGGTGTTGAGGAACCCACGTAGAGCCAGATAGCTTCCCTAAGTCAAGGAAATGGGGCAGGGAATAGCAAGGTAGCTCGAGTTTGTAGGACAGAGTACTGGAGAGGAGGCAGCTGCACAGAGAGAGATATTCACAGAAATGTGGATTATTCCCGCAAGTATTCATATTCAGCTGAGTTCTGATTAGTGACTGTGTGCATGTGAGAAAACTATTTAAAGACAAAAAAAAAAAAAAAACACTCATGAGGAAGGATGAGCAACAATACTACCCACTTCTTGCACAGGGCTGAGTATATTGCCAGTTCCCACCAGCAGACTAAACAGTTAGAGGGCACTGAAGGGTTTTGTTCCAGTAGTTGAGGATAGTTAGCTCTAAGCTGAGCACTCCTCCACTCTCACCTAATAAATATTAAAACCAGAGCCAAAGGGTCCAACTAACCTAACTTAACTGCATCCCAGAACAAAACTCAAGAATATTTAGAGGAATTTTTTTTTTTTAAATCCAGAATCTAACAAAGTAAAATTCAAAATGTCTGGTAACTGACCAAAAATCACCAGGCATGCAAAGAAGCAGGAAAATAAAACTCATATTAAAGATAAAAATCAATAAATTGAAACTGACTCAGAACAGACATCAATGCTAGAATTAAAAGAGAAGGACATTATGACAATGTTTTAACTGTATTTTATATGTTCAAAAGTTAAGTGGAAACATGGAAGATATAAAAAAGATCCAGAGATGAAAACTACAATGAGTGAATGAAAATTATAGTGGATGGGAGTAAAGATAGATTAAACATTGCAGAAGAAAATATTAGTGAACTTGAAGAAATACCAACAGAAACTATCCAAAAGGAAACATAGAAATAAAAGAGAATTAAAAAATGAATGAAGCAGCCAGCCCAGTAACATAGTGGTTAAGTTCCTGCACTCTGCTTCAGTGGCCCAGGGTTCGCAGGTTCCGATCCCAGGTGCAGCCCTACTCACCGCTTATCAAACCATGCTGTGGCAGGCATCCTACACATAAAATAGATGAAGATGGCACAGATGTTAGCTCCGGGCCAATATTCCTCAGCAAAAAGAGGAGGATTGGCAACACACGTTAGCTCAGGGCTGATCTTCCTCACCAAAAAAAAAAAAAATGAATGAAGAGAGCATCAGTGAGATGTAGCACATATTCCAACTTGAAAAGGAGAAGGGATGGAAAAATTATTTGAAGTTATAATGGCTAAAAATTTCCCATACTTGATAAACTTACAGTTCCATGAAGCTCAATGAACCCCAAGCACAAGAAACCTGAAGAAAATTACACCAAGACACATTATAAGCAAACGGCTCAAAATCAATGATAAACAGAAAGTATTAAAACTAGCCAGAGAAAGGAAGACACATGACATACAGAGGGTAAGGGTGACAGCCAATTTCTTATTGGAAGCAATGCAGGTGGGAAGAAAGTGGAGCTGCATTTTTAAGTGCTGAAAACAAAAACACTGTCAACTTAGAGTTCTATATTCAGTAAAAAAAAAAAATCTACGAGCATAAAGCTAAGAGAAAGACTTTTCAGATCTATAAAATCTCAGGAGTTCACCACCAGCAGATCCACACTATGAGAAATGTTAAAGGAAGAATTCAGGCAGAAGGAAAATGATACTGCATGAAAATATGAATCTATATGAAGGTATGAAGAGTATAGGAAATGGAAATTGCGGCTACATTATTTACCATGTGTAAATAAATCCCCAATAAAGCTTTCTTTTAAAAAAATCAATTCTTCAGTCTCACAGTCACATTTCAAGTACTCAATAGCCCCATGCGCAGTGCCTATGTTGCACAGCACAGGTGTAGAGCATGTCCATCATCACAGAAACTTCTATTGGATGGTGCTGTGTACATGACGTGGTGGTCCGAACTCAGGGCCCATTATGCTCTGAAAAGGTATGAAAAAGAAGGCAGCATTTTCCATAGGCTGATCTTGATATATATTCAAAAAGGAGGATATGAAACAGCATCATAAATTCTCAATAATGAAACTCGTAGATACATCTGATAGGTAAACCAATCTAATTTATTTTTAATAATCACAGATATCAGTAGTATAATTCACATAGGAAGATTCAGTCATCTTTTACTCAGTGTGTGATTTTTATTTTCCAGTTGTCATGGTTTGGGTTTTTCTATCTGTAACCTCACAAAACCACCACCACCTCGACTGACAGCATCACTACTAATGCAGAATACAAATTACAGTTGCAATAAAACAAGAGAAAAATTGTGAAGAATCAATTTTCCTTTCTCCAATTAATTCAAACCAGGAGCAGCCTGTCATTTTCTGTCACTATTTCTTATTTGAGGTCAAATTTTCCTCCCCTAACTGACTCAGAGGTGTAACGGTCTTCTTT